TAAATTGTATAATGAATCAATGATATTTTTTTGAACAAAAATGTGGTTCATGGAAGTGATAGCCATGAAAATGGGAAGCGGGAAATATGTATCATCTTATATTTTGGTCCCTTTTTCATGGTCCAGGTTGAGGAATGAAGGCAAAATAGTAATTTTGTTATATAAAATGAAATAAGATAAGATTAGATAGAGCATATAGAAACCGAACAATATTGTAAATGATTTATGTTGTAACATGACCAATGTATATTTTCACGACAACTTTATGTTTCAAAGAAGGTGAATTAACAAAATGGACACAAGTTTAAGCTCCATGGCTGATAGAATAATGAGAAGCATCATTATTTATTCACAAGGAATCCATTTATGAGAGATAGAAAACTCAAAATCGAATCAGTGTAATAACAGTGAAGCTTGATGCTTTCATTATTGGCGATATTAGGAGAAATTACAAATTAACTCTCTTTATAAACCTTTAAAACTATAATATTGTTTTGCCCTTTATCTTATGTGGTAGCACCTATCTGTGCTGCAGATGAAGGTTGTTGTGCCATTGGAAAATCCAGAAATATTTAAGGTTTTATGTAGCTTTAGATACTCCTTTATTTTTTTATATACTTTGTATAAGTTTTGTTTTAACATGAGACTTTTATCATGTAATTTTTTTGAACAACATAGAATATGGCGAGTCACTTCAAAAATTAACCATTTTCATGGCTTTTGCACCAGAAGAAGAAGAAGAGGCTGAAATCTTGGAATGGATAACTGATAGAGAAAAAGAAGCGGAGGCAGATTGGGCTTCAAGGAATCATGATACTTGAGTCTGCAAGTTCTTCAAGAAAAATGCTTCTGAAATAGTGGTTTTGATATCAATGTACTTTCAAAAAAATGTTTTTTTATTTTTTTTATGTGTATTATTTCCAGGTCTGAGTTTATTTTTTTACTATGAAATGGAGGTTTTAATAGAAATGTACATTTTTTGAAAAAGAGTACCTTTTTTTTACACTTTTTATTACCAGGTCAAAGTCCAACCTTTATACATTTTTCTTTATAAACATTTCCGAAATGACAGTTTAAAAGCAGTGTACTTTGGAAAAAAGAAGTTTTTTTTGTTTTACTTTTTGATGTCTTTTATTACCAATATATCCAGTCATGTTAAGCCAAGTCTGATGCAAGTTTTTGATTTTTTTTTTGTTTTTTTTTTAAGATTTTGAATAAACATTTGATGAAGGTACATAAATAAACACAATTATATTGACATGGG